GCATACTCACCCTTGCATATCATGCTTGCATACTTACACTTGCATACTTTGACACTGGCATACTTCGCACTTGGATGCTTTCGCTCTTCCAGTGTGAGTGTCGAAGTGTAAGTGTCGAAGTGTCAGTGTTCAAAGGATTTTCCGGAAGAACCCTTCGCAATGCTTTCGGGAAAAAAGGATAGACATAGCGAAGTTTCTATTGCTCATTCGAGCTATGTCTATCTTTGAAGTGCCTCGTTCCCAGCCATCCCAGCGGGCGACCCCCCCGTCCGTCCGTTGCCTCGGAGCGAACGCGCCGCGCCGCTGAGGTGAAATTCGGCCGAGCGGAGCGAAGAAAAGAATGCGCTGGGCCGCTTTCGGCGGTTGGTGACGTGGGCATTGACCATGTGGGTGGAGGTGAAAACAAGGGTGTGCTGGGTCCGGCCCTGCAAATACTCCGTGAATAGGGTAGAACCAAGCAAAGGTGGCTTTGGAGCATTCTTTTGGATGCGATTGAAATCTTTTAGGACGGGTCAATCAGCCAGATCAGCTCATAGAAGTTCAGTCTTCTTCCATTGCCGATGTTTTCCATTGGACATACAATGTCCTTTTTTCTATGCCTTTTCCCATTTGATGGCGTGATCCAGGAGTGACTGTACTGAGCTAGGTCCAGGAAGAGATCCCCACAAAGTTTGCAATTGTTCACAAGACTCCACCATTGGAGAGAGGTGGGGACACAAGTCTTTGTTGGAAGGGAAGCAAAGTTCAAGCTACAGAAGGTTGGAACGAAGAGCAATTGTCAAGCTGCCAAAGACAAGTATAGTCAAGAAGTCTTTTTTACCTACCCAGTCAGTGGATAACCTTTAACCTTTCTTGGGGGTTGGTTTCCCCACTAAACAAGACGAACGGTGGAAAAAGGTTAAAGTTTTTCTCTGAGGGAAAACTGAGGGGGGTCAGTTTACCAACTTGTGCTTATTGTTACTACTAGTAAGGCACTTGTTACGAACGTAGCGATGCACTTGTTTCTACGTTCGCTTCTTGTTACTAGCCGCGCCTCAAAACACCCAGTTCAGCGTTTTCGGATGCGTGCAGATCGTGCTGCAGCAGCGGGTGTGGGACAAACCCCCACCCTGTTTCGACCTGGTTTGGGTCTGAGGTGTTCAGACGTCATCCCGAGTCTTTCGGGGGGTGCGTGCCTTCCACGTAACCACCACCACGTTGAGTTCAGGACATGTTCCACTTCCACCCTGCAGAGATACCCTATATAGAAGTCGTGGCGCAACATGTTGTTCAATAGCCGGGTCATCCCGAACAACCATCGTTCTATTATAAGGGTTTTACACAAGGTTACACCATGAAGCCTGGCACAGGATGTCACCAGATATACCTCCGGAACCAGCACTTCCAGGTGATAGTGATAGAGATGAAGTCCACCTCCTCCGCAGCCTTTGGCACTCCGCCCGTAGTCGGCCTCCAGTTGCGGAGCGGTTGTCCGGCCGCCGCTCGCAACCCCCGAGAGATCCAGATGTTGGTCAAGCAGATCCAAGATCCAAAGCGTTTCAGCCAGATGCTTCACCAATTCCTGACACGCATAACCTGATATAATCACTCAAAGAATTGTTCGATATTAATTTCATTAAATATAATGTCCAAAAAAGCAGAGTGAAACCACCACAGCATTTTTCACACCAGACACCCAACAACCGATGAGTAAAATCACTCTCCACCCGGGTCGAACCGGCTCCACCCCTCGGCGCCACCGGTGAGCCGGTCGGGCGGAGGGCGGAGCGGAGCGGCGGAGCGCGGCCGGCGGAGCGGGGAGCCACGGTCGATGCGCGGAGACGGCCATGGCCGGGGCGCCGAGCTGGGAAAGTGTGGAGAGTTTGGAGGAAAGTGGAGGAAGAATGGAGGAGGTTTGGAGGAACCTGAATGTAGATTCTTGATTGGTAGAGCCCATATTGGAGAAGTTGTTCAATCCATGTTTGGGGAGGGGTTTCTAGTCAAGAGTGAATGACTGATCCAAGCATCATGAGAAAGTCGTTTAAACTCCACAGCCTGTTTTTTGTGGAGCATGAAATGCTATGTTTGGCCTGTTCCTGCAAATCATCACATGGTAACCACTATACATGGAAGTTTTCTTTGGAACAATCGATCGCCTTGGTCTCAAACTGACGAATGACCATGGCAATCTCACGGCAGCCCCATGGCAGCCCGAGCACCGGCGCCCTTCTGCGGCGACACGCCCTTCGCAAGCACCGCACCGCCTCCGCACCGCGCGTCGGACGTGATTTGCTCTCAGGACGAAAGCCCTGAGAGCAATTGCCCCATGGAATCGAAAGATTCACAGGCCGTGGCGGTGCTCGGTCTGCCCGTTCTGCCCGTTCGCCCGAGCCAGTTCGGCCGAAGGATCCTGATCGCCGGCCAGTTGATAGGAAACGGCGGAAGGCTGATTGTTGGGGCAGAAGTAACCTTGTTATGATTCATGGCTTGCATAAGGACAGCCAGTGCCGCAAGGAGTGCCGCAAGTCTGCAGGTGGTGGGTGATTGGTTGCACCGAAATCTAAGATGTTTGGGATGTTTGGGGATCTCAGGTGGTACTGAAACAGCGGCGCTATCCAACCCCCAAACAAAGGCCGCGCCTGGGCGCAAGGCCACGGCTATTTTCGCTGAAATCGCAGGTACGACTTGGCTGGACTCCAGTTATGTTTGATGGGTGTAAAACCAAATGCTCTACAGTATCACGTCGTCTGTAAAACGGATTCTTTCCAAGGTGTACGAGTTGCACATAGTCACACTTGACGTGACATGAAAGTTGTCCTTTGGGATTCCATACGACTTGGATCCACAAAGGCCGCTCCTTGCCAAGAAGAAAACTGATGCGCGGACGGAAGGTCCCCTCTGTGTGTGCTCATCCTCATGTATCATTAGTCCCAGCACCCGACTTCACAGGTCACCTATTGAGACCGACTTCACAGGGCCGACGACAACCCTCTGGTATGACATTATGAAGACCGGTAGAGTCGGGGTGCTGGGAAAAAAAATCGTATCATCCTATCACTATCACCATGTCTGGCAAGCTCCCACCGTCACTCCCAGCGTCCCGAACTGTGTTCACGCCCGCCGAACCGGAGAACGGTCCCGGTCGCGGTCGAACCGCCGGTTCGGTGGAACGCTGCGCGGAGGCCACGGAGATGGTGCTGCGCCTGCGGCTGCTGTCAGGCCGTGAGGTCGAGATCTCCCTCCACGAGGCGCGCGCCGGGACCTCCTCAGCCACCGCGCCCCTCGCGCTCGGGCCGCACGGCGGCTGCGGCGGACGGGGACGGACTCAACGGTGCATCCGGGGGGCGGTCAGGTGTTCTGTCTTTCAATTCGCTCACCCTGGAGGTGTCTTCGCTCGCGTTCGCCGCGTTCCAAACGCGGACCGCAGGAGGCCACCATGGCGGAGCTCCGGCGGAGCGTGGAGAAGGCCGGCCGGGGTAGGGGGGGTGGTTAGGTTGTAGCATTGTAGTTGCCACCGTGTTTTGTTTTTTACGGAAAATGGTGGGATACATGAATGACATCTCCCTTTTTGGTAGAATCTGTCAGGCAGTTGATTTTGGGATCTTTATTGTGAAAAGATTGAAAAGTATGACTAATGTGTAGTATATAAACAAGTGCCCTTGTCAAAATAAAAGTACTATGTAGTATATATGTAGTCTATGTAGTCTATCAGTGCACTTAGTCCTTAAAGCTTTAAACAAGTGCCCTTGGAAAGTCGCGGGCTCTCTATTTCCGGACCGGTGAGCAGGGCTCTCGTTCGGTGCGTCGTTCGGTGCAAGTCCAGAAGTTCAACTTTGGTGGCATGCCATTTGTCGCTACACCTGCCATAAAGCAACTGGTCATTGGCATGGAAATGGACATGAAAGGGGTGAGAGAGACTCACGATTTTTGGACCATGTTCTGATTCTGATCCTTTCCATGCTCCAAGATCTCCGTTCTCCAAGCCGCCGCCCCGCCCGAGTGGCCAGGCACTCGGGATGCCTGCGCACTTGACGCGGCTCTTCCGCGAAGAGGCCCGGTGCACAGGTGATTGGATGGAAGACATGTGGAAGATACGGGGAGACTCAAAAAAACAAACCAAGCCCATACTGGCTGGTTCTGGGGTGTGGTAGCAGGCTGGTAGCAAGTGTTGGAATTTTACAGTTTGGAACACCTGTATTTTTGTTTTTGAGAATCCTGTTTGTGAGTGTTCCTCCAATCCTGCATCCTAGGGTGGTCTTCATAGATCAAACTGGACAGAAGGTCCCTTGCAACCTGTATCAAACATCGCTTCATCAGCCGCCCTTGTAGATTTCTCAAAGAGTACGTCGAAAGAAGTCCAAAAAAGACATGGTTCGCTCTTTAAAGCGTTTTAGACTACAAAGTAATGATGATGTCGTCTTTACCCTATATAGATGTCGTTCCCCTCCTTAGGGACCCCTTCAACCGATGTCGCTCCACTCCGCGGGCGCGGAGCCGCGGAGCCGCGCTCCTTCGCCGTGTCCGTGCGCATCCAGGTGGAGATGGCCGCCCCCTTCGACGCCAAAGTGGCTCAGTGCGGCATCACGTGCGGCTGTGCATTGACCTGTGTTGCTTTGGCTCTAAAGTGCTTCGTATTGGCGGATGATTTCTGTATGTTTGTATGGCAGGTAGGTGTAGCTGATGGCATGGCGTTGTTTTAAGCAGGCATTAACTATACCAGCTAAACCAAAAGTGCTAGAATTGTTACACCGTCTTTCAAAATGTACATTTTTGAGAAATACATACTCAATGATAATAATTTCAATTTATTTTTTAAAAAGTTACACTTTTACTAAATACATACTCAACTTGAATATCTCCGGGTTATGATTAATGATGAATAGTACAGTATATGATAAATCAAGTACAGACAGGAGTCTCTGATGAATAGTACAGTATATGCAACTTCCCATGAGTCTCTGACAGGAGACTCTTCTTCATTGCCAGCACAGCATCATCAGTAAGCATGACTGCGCCCTCAACAAGGTCTGAACAACTCCAAACACGGCTCAGTAGTGGCACCATGTGATCCCCAATGGCTACATGCAACAATCACTGGATTACACAATACATGCTCATGTAACACCATTACATGCTCATGATCTCCGCTCAGAATCCGGGTTTCTCCGCTCAGAGTCCGGGTTTTTCCGGGTCTAGTCCGGGTCAGTATTTTCTCCGGGTCTTAATTTCTATTTCTCCGGGTCACGTGTTACCTAATACATGCTCACCAGTCCAAATACATGCTCAACCCATTTTCTCCTATATCACGTTAATCACGATCGCATTCTATTTATATCTATATACAATATGGGAAGGTGTTCTTCCATCGGGCTGGCACCATCAAATTCTTGGAGCCTCTCATGTAGACAATGGCCTCCTCCAAGCAAGCCTGCCCGGAGATATTCAAGTATATGACCAACAGTATATGATGAATCAAGTATACTGCAATGCATGTTATGACCAACAGGTTATATTTAATATGTTAATTAATGTTATTTATGCAATTACGCAATACCTACCCTTTTACTCAATACATACTCAAGATTAAAATTTTTATACCAAAAGCAAAAATCAACATTTTTTAAAAAAATGTACTTTTTCGGGTTGTTACGGCTTAGCTGGTAGCTGTACCCTCCAACAGGTCACCACCTGCGACTTTAAAGTCTTCAAAAGCCACCACCTGTTGGAGGGTCCTGGTTGTTATTCTGTGTGGCATGTATGGCATGCAGATTGCTAGGGTTTTGGGGTTTGGGAGACCACGCCAGGGATGAACCTAGGGGTGGCTTGATGATCTTAAATCTTTACAGAAACGTTTAACTGGGTAACATAGAAAAGACTGCTGCAAGAACGACTTGAACGTAATCTGCAAACGAGATTTGCCAGAAGCTTAACTGGCTCCATGTGCTCAGCTGCGTATTTGCCAGAGCCTTGCTGAGACGAAGTGTTTGGACTTCAGGCCCCAAAGAGCTTACCAAGTCAAGAAGCAAATAGCGGGCCGTTGCTGTTGGTCGTTTTGGGTGAGACATACTCAAAGGAAGGTGGGTGGTTTAGCCTAAACTCCACAGACATCTCAACAGCGCAAGCAACGGCGTCCCGACAGCCGTTCGTTCAGCTGTTGCAAAGCCTCGAGCCTCGAGCCTCGTGCAGTTTTCTCGAAAGACGCTCAACGGTCACTTGAGGCGGTGGATTCTCGGGGAAAACGAAAAGTCCCAAATCGCAAGTCCCTTTCTGACCAAAAAAAGAACCCAAAGACGTTTCCATTTGGGAAACCGGTGTGTTTCCGTTCGTTCTTTGGTTCTCTCGTCTCCCAGACACCCAACGTCGGTCCCGCCACGGACGTCGCTGGACTCGGACGGACGTCGCGACGGCCATAGGTCACGATGGCCTCCGAGGAGTTCTTACCTGTCGGGGTGGCCCAGCGAGCGGTGGTGAGCTGTGGCGCCCCATGAAACGCCAGCGGTGGCGTGGCGTTAGTGCGAGTCAGGTTAAAGTCGTCGTATGTTCGGGGGTCTGACGGATTTGGAACTTGAACTGGAACCCAAGAAAAACAGCCTGGACTTTTCTCAGCCCCGTTCAGACAGACAGAAGTGGACCTCCCAAAAATCCTTGCAACGAAGTTCACCCTCAAAACCCCCCCTTCCAGACCCGGCGTTGTTCGCTTCGCCTTCCGCCCGGATGAACCCCCCGGTGGCGGCGCTCCAGGTGAAGCTGGAGCATCGAGAGCAGCCGATCCCCAAGCGTCTCCAACTCCAACGCCTCGTCGGCCGCGCGGAGCGGAGAGACGGAGCGACGGAGCGGAGAGGGGCGAGCGACACGAGGAGTGTGGACCGGAGGGTTTTGGGACGGTTGGAGAATTGGGTTCAACAAGAGGCACGGGTTCCCAAAAGATCGACGCATTTACCAAGAAAGGGAAGGCATGCTCTGAGGCTCTGAGCATCCGCTCTTTTTGAAGGGTTTTGGAAAGGTGTTGACCCGAAATGGGCTGCTTGGGGTTCCAGTGATCTTTCCTCATGGTTGGCCATCTACCAAGCCCTCCAACAGGTCACCCATTGTTGGTTTCAACAGCTCACCCCCTACCAACCCTCTGGTATGGAGACCTGTTTCGCCGGGGCCATGCCACTGCGATGCGACGCCGCGGTGTAACAAGGGCATCGCTATAGCGTAACAGGTGCACCGCTAGTAGGTTGGAGGCCATCGGTATAAGACCTCTTGGATATTTGGGACTGTCCCCTCATCAACAGTCTACATCATGGTGGGAACTCCTGTGGTTTTCCTTGCACCACCAGTGGTTTGGTAGTCCAAAATCTGGACGACCATGGTTGCTCGGGAAGTTGAGCGATTGCGCGCTTGCGTGCCCGAACAGGGTGTGCGAGACCCATCCCCTTTGGTCAAAAGTGGTGTGCGAAAACCCAACGAGTCGGGAAAGTGGTCAGCTCTTCCTTTGGTCAAACAAATATACGTTTAAAACATGTAAAACAACCAGGTTCTTCAAAGTGACCTTTTGATATCCTAGTTTGATGTCACTGGGGCCTGTCAAAGAGTCACTTTGCAGAAAACCCAACGACCAGGGGAGTTTCTGAGACCTTCGACCTTCGACTGGACTTCTCCGACCACCTCCTCCTCCTCCTCCTCCAGATAGACCCCGCTTTCCGCCAAAGCAAGGGATCCAAAAACTGGACGGTGATCTTTTGCTGGTTCCTGGGTGGATTGGCATGGGCAAAATGCATGTGTATTAAACATTCCCTCCAAGTCAATGACCTCGTTGAACTTGTTCATTTAGAATTGTCTTGCAGGATCTATGTGCCATTAGTGTGGCGACGTTGAATTCACTTTGTTACAAGGGCATGGGTTCCGACAAACCAGGTCTTCGAAAAAAAAATATATGTTTCTGTTCGACAAGGTATTCGTTTAACTTGCACTTCGGACTTGTGGGGATTATTAAACTAGGGAGACCTCCCAGGCTCCCGAGCCTGACACGACTTCCGAGCGGTCTCGTCTCGATCTCGGTCGGTTTCAGCATGCCGTCAAGACTGCCGTTGGTGGGTGGTCCACAGTGATTCAGTTCTGCGTCACAAAAAAGACCCTTCGGACTCCATCGCGATCTTGGGATCTTGTTTGCTGGATTCGGAAGACGAAACCGTCCCACCTCCCAAAAATTCCCGCTCAAACCTGCAAACCCGCCGGAAATGGCTGTTCACATCCAAGAAAAAGTCAAAAGGGCGCAGGATTTGGTTGCCGAACCACTGGGCTGGAGACTTCACGGTGGACATGAACTTCACGGTGAACCCTGTATACGGCCTGGAACGTCACGGCAAGCCTACGTACCGCAGAGCGTGGAATCCCACGATGCAATACAAAGTATACATCTGCATGTGTGCTACATCTGCCCATAGCAAGTGCAGTGAATGGAGTTGAGTACCTGCACCCGCGACCCATCGAGAGCTGATCAAGAAGCCAGGATGCCGAGGCTCTTGGCTCGTGCTTTGCCAGACCTGCTCTCCGCCCTGTCGCAAGTCCAGTGTTGGGCTAGTAGGTGAACTTAACTTCCAGATTTTCAAGCCAATGTGATGTTTGATGTTAAAGTCCAATGTCACATTTTGCCTGTCACTGTGTTCCAAACATGCGACCCACTTGCTTGCGGCTGCGGCTACCACACACCCAGACTCCGCGAGCGAATTGCGTTTGTGGCGCGCTTGGTGAGTTCAAGCCTCATTGTAGCCAACTCACCGGAAGTAACACTCCCCAAAACCGCCTCGTTAAAGCACTGAATAGTCGAACGCACATGGAATGATGGCAAGTTTGGCCCTCGCCACATCGATGCCCATATGAAAGATGCAGCGTTATGCATACTTCGACCCTCAAAAAGAGTAGACCAAATCCATGTGTTCGGCCCAATGTAGGCAGCATCTCATTAATTGCTGTTCAAACACACCAAGGAAGGGACGCCATGTGGAACTGCTACGATTTCCGCGACCTCTGCACCGGTGACATGGTCACCGTGAGGCGCCCCTAACGGCCAAACGGGGCGGAGTACGTGAGCCCCCCAACGGGGCGGTAGATTGGAGTTATTGAGTTCAATGATGATGTTAATCTAGACCTTGGTTTTGCGTATATGACCTTACATGTGCCCGAACTGGGTGAATCCCCTGCTGGATGATATGTTTTAATTTTCCCGGTTCCTTAAGCAAATCCAAGCAGGATCAATCCATTTAATGTGGCCTATTGTGGATGGTCATGTTCATCGTTTATATTGTCGAGATTCAGGCGCATTGCGGATGTGTTCGGCACAGCCGTAGCAGGTTTATTCAGTACTTCGATCAGGACGACTTGGCCGGAAGTTTAACCAAAGAGAGTCTTGGCAGCCTTGATGCGTCTCCTGTGCTGTTTTGTAGACCGAGGGAGGGGATAGATAGTTTCCAGGTTCGGGGATGAAACCAAACCGGACCAGGAAGAACATGGAAGAACATATGGTTGTCCACAGGTGAAAATGAAAAAGGTACCATCCAACCACATTGGCGTTTGGAAAGACGAGGATCTATTTGCTGCAGCAGCTGAACCACGAGAACTTGCTGAAGTTAGTGGACTTCTTACCACCCACCACGCCAGACTTCAACGACTTTTGCCCCTTGGGACGAAATCGGAGCTCTCGGTTGTTCCGCAAAGCCGGGCAAGCGACCTATCAGGCTGACCTGGTCGACAGTGGTCAGTGTCGGGAACAGCATAACCTTTCAGAAAGCACTGTCATCACAGCGAAAGCAGGCACAATCTTCTCATCCTTAGATCCTTCGAAGTCAGCAAAGATGTGTTTCCTCAAGGAGATAGGAACTCCACTTCCAAAGTCGATGGGCCCAATCCAACTGCTGGGCCACCAGGACCCCTTGTTTCGGGTGTTTATCAATAGCCCCTTAGAGGTTAAAGGGGTCCATAAACCACCCCTTGGGGGTCCTGGTGCGTTGAATTTTATCCAGGAATGTTTGAGGAGTTCTTCTCTCCCAGGACACACCAATGCAGCCACTTGGGAGCTTCATGCTGGGTTCCAAGAGAAAGTGCCGTCAAGTCGATGGGTCGTCTCCCGTCGCCGGGAACCAACGCCGCCCGACCTCCGAGTGTTCGAACAAATCGTAGCCGCGTGGAGGGTTTAGCAGTTGGATCGGGTGATGGACTTCTACGACTATTGATGGACCGATTTGTTTGATCAAGAAACATTCGAAGTTGGTAGTAAGTTATCAACTCGGGTGAAGAAAAGGCTGAACGCTTGATGGCAATCCACCTGCCTTTCCACATTCCTTTTCACAGGCCTTCGCCGGCCGTCGGCGTGTTGGTTCTTTTCGTGGAAACGTCTGTGGAGCGCGCGCGTGCGCGTGTTGTTTGTTTTTGTCTCGTTGACCTGAGCTAGAGGCTTGATCGTGGAGCACATGGAGACCGACCTGGGACAGGTTTTGAGGCGCACGACCGACGGGTGGAGGAGGGAGGACGAGCGAAGCGAGCGACGGAGCGAAGCTCGTTTCCGGAGCGACGAAGTGGGGGAGACTGAGAACGGCGAGTGGCAGTGGTGTAGCCTGCAGGCTACCTGGTTTTGCTTAGGATGATTTCTATTTGCCCGAACTGGGTGAATCCACTTCTGATGAACATGTATTTGTCTTATATTTTTTTGACCTGGTTCCTTAAACAAATCCAAGACTACCTACCATACTATAGCCTTGTAGTGGGTCACCCTTGAAGTTTACCTTTTTCTCCCAAATGATGGTGCTTCATCGGATGTGAGAAGCGATTGAGGATGTCTTGTAAACTCAAAGGTCCCAGAGTAGGAGACAGATGTCCTCGCTGGGAGGACCAAGAAGAAGGGACCTGCCGTTCTGACACGGCGGATTCGACAGTGCACATGCCATAAAACTACAGAAGAAGCCCATGGCTTTGGGGATAATTCCATTTCAGTGATGATTAGGTGTAGTGTTTGGTGATTACACTCCGACTCACTCACATGGAAGTGGATGGCATGGCCCGTTGGATGACTATATTCTTCTACAAACAGGTGGTGAGCTCCACTTCCATGTGACGTGTTCGTCAGAGGGTAGGCAAAATGGAAGAAAGTGCGTTCCAGGAAAAGCCGGAAAGGACAGCTTTAAGACTACTTCAACTGAGTTGTGAAGGGTACGACGTCAGGTTTCACCGTCCAAACATGCTAGTCATTTGCGATATTGGCTTAACGTGCGGTCACCCCCCGCACGTTCCAGCTGACGCAGAAGATTGGAAGACTGGAGACAGTCCTTCCTTTGAGCTTATCTAATAGAGAAAGTCCTCATTGTCCACAACCTTCCTGTACCTATAGTTGGGTGTGCCCTTTGCCCCACCTGCAACAGTCAATAAAGGATTATTCATTGTTCTTGAGAAATACACGTATTAACCATAATTATAATCATCCACTGTTACGGGGAATGGGGAAACCAATAGATGTGTTTTTCAATGGATGATGAACCAGCCCATGGGAGTTTGTTGCTTTTGGGCATGGGAATGTCTCGTAAGGTAACGAGACGGCGCTAGTCGGTTGAATTGTCAGAAATGAACTTGGACCCTTGATTCTACAGACCTGTGGAAGACCAGTGAATCAGTGAATTCTACAAAGCAAGATTCTTCAGGCCTGTGACATCATATTGTGATTGTCAAATATTCTACAGACCAGACATGATTCTACAGACCTGTGATTTTTCAGATTCTCCAGACCCTCTAGAAACCACTATTTTACTAAGTCGTTTCATCAGATCCTTATCACTTCTGCGACTTTCACTCGCTCAAATCTGAGCTGCACCACTTGATCTCTGCTAGTTAAAAACCTCAGCTCTGCCGCCTTCCGTGTGTCGGCCTTCCTTTGGGCGCCAAGCCAGGAGCAAGCAGGAGTTGACGGAAGAGCACTGCCAATATCTCAGCTATCAGATGCTTAGGCCATCCGTGCTGGCGAAACATGGCGGTTTGGTCTTCTCCGACCGACCTTCCGACCGACCGACACAGACATGCTTAGGCCATCCGGCGAAACATGGCTGGAGCCATGTCGAAACGCCGAGCCCCAAAACGGAAAGAGAAAAAGAGTTGTCACAATCATGGAATTCGTGGGATCTGGAGGGAAAAAAGGATGGAAAAAAAAGAGTTGTGTCAGGTTTTGTGTTCTTTTAAAAACAACGAAGATGGAGAAAAAACTGAACTGCTTGTCCTTTTTGAAGCATGGCGAGTCGTTCCACTTCGTTCCTAAAAGTCTGGAAGTCGCTTTGGGGCAGCTTCGACGACCGAACGTGCGAACGTGTGGCCTGGATGAGTGTGTGGGTTTTGACACCCAAATGTGCAAGTGCGGTTTTGGTTCTACATAGTGCTCTACTTTTACTACTTTGTTTGACTATGTCTACTCCTACTACCTCCTACTACTACTACTACGACGACGACGACGACGACTACTACTACGACTACGACTACGACTATTTCTTCTTCTTCCCAGGGGTTTAGAAGGGGTCTTCTGGTCTTCTTATGAAACAATGCACATATGTATAAATATGAATATAGATGTAGGTAGGTAGATAGATAAATTCCAGAAAGGGCTCTTCTGAGACCCAAAAAGGAACCTGCTACTGACACGATGTCGAACGTCGCTTCACTCAGAGAATCCGGTCGAATTGAAGACACGGTCATTTTGGCCAAGTCTCACGGAGTTGTGGGTAGAAACGGTAGAAATCATAAGGAACTCCTAAGACCACCTACAGAAGTACATCTAGTTCTATCGCTATGCATGAATATGTTTAATTAGGTACCTCAGACCTATGTTTACTGACCATATGTTTTCGTCTTCGACCCCGAAGAAGCCGGATATTCCAAAAGAACATGTCAGCGCACCACCACCTGCCCTCTGTGTCTTTTCTAGGTGTTCTTTTGTTTCACCCCGAGCCCTTGATGTCAGAGACTTCGCGACTTTGCCGGTCAGAGATAAACCCCGACCATCCCGACCCTGCGACGAATCCAGGGCGCTGAGCTACCTCCACTCAGCTCATGTGGTCCACCAGCGCCTCCGGCCGCGGAGCGTTCTGGTGAACCGGCGCCTTGTCGAGGGCACTGGGGGTTCGGAGGGCACTGGGGCATAGAAAAGATGTCATGAGATAGATATTATTGGGGTCTGTCCTATTACCTGTAACAGTCAGTAAACAATTATTACATATTATTAATTCTATTATAGGATAGACCCAAGATATGATAGATATTTATCTACATGTACAAATCGTCCTTTTACCAAATAAATAGCTGTTTCACTTCAATCAGCTTGTTTCACGCAACAGAGTTGGAGTTGACTCGTTAGGCACATGAAGATGTCGCTCACGGCCACCCTCGCGCGCGCGCGCCACGCCACGCCACGCTTGGCCTCCACCCTGCGACGGGAGGAATTGCCACGTGAAGCTCTCTGAACTTTGGGACGCGCAGGCCATGGGTGGCTCCTCGGATGGAAGGCGGCTCCGCAGGTGACAGGTGAAGAACGGGACGAACGGGACAGTCTGTAGCATGGGAAGGTCTGTCCTCGTCCGGGCAAACAAAGAAGTCGGGCGATGAGGGTTAAAGAGTTCTGAAGAGTTCTGAGCTGCAAGCTTCAGTTCAATGTTGCATGTAGGAAGGATTGCTCATTGGAAACAGGGTTCCAGGTCAACGGAATATGTGCAGCCTAGGGGTTCATGAGAAAGATCTTGAGCGCGGAGTGAATTGATCTTCTCGACATGCATGGCAGCTCCAGAAATGTGTAAACTTTAAGGGGCAGAGCGGCAGAGCTGTACAAAGCCCCGCTAATAAGTAAAGCAGTACAGCCTCGGCGGAACGTTCTGGACTTCGTTCGCCTTGGCTACTTCAATGCCCACGTTATTCGCAAAAAAAGACCGAGGAGAGGCTTCAGATGAAGACACCGCCCGCTGGTACCGGGCGCCCGAGCTCATCCTCAACAATGACCGGGGGCGATTGCTGGCGATGCACGCCGACGCGCGCACGTAGCGATCGGTTCACTTAGTCATACTCAGTCCAATTTGCCCAAGACAAATGGACTTTCCTACCCACTCACTCAGTGGATTGATTTCCTTGAAGTTTTTGTTTGGGGGGGTTGAGGGGCACCCCACGAAGTGGCAGAACAGGGGGAAAGTTCAGTTAAAGGTTAACCATATCTTTGACTGTTCAGGGACACTGAGGGAGTTCAGGGAACCGAGGAGCGAAGGTTTGAGGGGCTGAACCAGTCAGGTTCACCGTAGAAATCGGGTGATCCAGGCCGTGACCATCTCATAGGGCTAGGGATTTGGTGAAGGGGTGAAACAATACAAGCCGCCCAAAGCAGCGCACTCAGCAGAGTGGCGTTGCCTTCGGGGTGAAAGAAAAAAAAGACAAAGCCGTGGCCCTTACGGTGTGCTCCCCAAAAGTGTGGAACTCTATCTATCGAGGGTGTCAAAGGAATGACAGATGGCACCGCAACGATGAAACGATGTTTGGGGGTGAGCGGTATCACCTTGGTAGCTTTGGTGAATCAAAATCTCCATGTCCATTCTCAGATGGGGAGCGGTCATCCCCGTGGATTGGGAACTGGACTGGACTCCAACCCGGAGGAGAGCCCTTTGTACCTGTGGAAATGTCTGGGACTCTTTTTTGGGGCACCTGATCGAGGGGAATCGGATCATCGCCCAAGTGGCATGATTTGGCCATGGCCACCCTTCTACCGCACTCCCTTTGGGCCCCTTCTACCGCTCCGCACCTCAACGAAGGACGCCCGGGGACGGGACGGGACTCCCACGTGCGACGACCGGGCGCTGACCGGCGAGGATTGGCAGGCCATGCCCTTGACCGGCGCCTGCGATGTGAGGGCTGCCCAGGTGAAACACCCGGCGATGGAGCTGAAAGCAGCCGGCGAGCGAGTCGTCTTGGTCTTGGACTCTTCGAACTCCAAAACGACCACGACGAATTTGTAGAGACAAGCAGGTTTTTTCTTTTTGGGGGGGTGGAGAGTTCCATGTCGTTTTTTGTAGGAGGTTGGGGGTTGTGGTCTTCGAGTTCATGTGGCTTCCAAAAAGGCACAGCAACAAGGGCCTTGAACAGCCGTACTTACCTTGCTTTAGTGGTTGGTGGTCGATGTGTTCTGGAAGGGTGCTTGACCGTGCTCCGAAGACGGCCCTGTAGGTGTATGATGATGCATGGAGTTTGAAGAATTGCAATTCTAATTAAAGTCTTATTGTTACTAGTAGTAAGGCACTTGTTTCTAATTGCTTCTTGTTACTACTAGTAAGGCACTTGTTACTAGTAGCGATGCACTTGTTAATAGTACACTCTCTGGAATTATCATGGAAGTGGATGGCACAGCCCCTGGACGACCATTTTCCTCTACGAACAGTGTCCACTTCCATGATTCGTTCAAGGAGTGTACAGAGAGTGGAGATTCTTGCACCGGGACGTGAAGAACCATGCTGCCGTGCCAATCTGCCTTATTCGGCCATGTGCGGCCGTGTATTTAAAGCTGGTTGGGTCAAGTTGGGTCCAAAAGCTGCCGAGTCTCTGCGAGTCTCCAGCAATTTGCGTCGAAACAAAGTGTCCAGATCTTTCCAGGTCGCGCGCGGTTTCCAGATCTTTCCAATCAAACACTGGTCAAACGACCGGCTGCCGGTCGTTTGACGTCCAGTGAACGACGTCACCTGCACCGGTCAGTATTCCGACGAACGCACTGGTCACCGAGGACTGGACCGGTTCGAAAGGGTCGACTGGACGGGTTGGTGTATGACTCGGGTTTGTCCGAACTTACCTGTAACAGTCAGTAAACAATTATCATCATTTTTGAACAAGGCCTGGAACCAAACCATCATCATCCACTGTTACAGGTAGTATGTCACACCCTTACCGGATGTCACCGGTTGGTTTTTCATCTTGGGTCGAAGATGGCCAGGAGTTTTCCTCTGGTTGGCACTTTTGGCAGATGGAGTCCGAAGCAGGTGGGTTCTTGAAATTCCTACCAATCACAGTGTTGACGGTGCCCGGACATCTGATCGGATGGGATCGCCTCCCACCGAACAAGTTCCGCTTCGTTCCCATGTGATGTCCCCACCCCATTCCCATTTGGAAAGCCTCCTTTTTATCCCGAAAAAGAACACGACCTCCTGCATCTTTCATAGGAAAACAGCCGACTCGGCTTGCTTCACGCTGGCAAAGAAGAGTGCTCCATCCAAACCCTCTGATCGAAATTCCCTAAGGCTTGGGGCCTTGGTTGTATCCTCTTCGAAATGTACCAGCGGCGCCTTGGTCGTCAAGTTACTCCTCCAGGTCTTTGGACGGGACGGTCCATCCGTGGGCGGAGAATCCATCCATCTTGGAATCCTTGGGAGGACCAGAGGATGCAAACAACAGCATGTTCCACCACGTTGTGCCCTTTGGTGATTGTGCTGAGGTTAGCACATGTTAGCACAAAACGCTGGGGCACTGGGAGGGCTCCAAGGTGTATAATTAAACTGCTTGGGACTTAGGAGTCACTGGGATACTGGGTGGATCAAAGCTAGATATTCGGAGCTTGGATTCCTGGTGTGACCAGCCTGCACAGGTTTGTTACAAGAATGCTTCCGTGAAGTCCAAACAAACTGCCGCAATATTCACCATGTGACATGACAGCCTGATACAATCATGATGCCAACGTCTGGGGAATCCGATTGCTTTGGCAAGGTGTTGAATAAGGTGATCTCAATTCTTTTTTAGGGTCTAAATCCATTCAGGCAAATTCAACAAGTCATCCGATGAAAGCCACAAACTCCTGGCGGAGAGTGTCCAATCGGAACAAATCCAGGTCTTTACAAAAAAGGAACGTGAGTCCTCACCGCTAAGTCTTCCTCTTGATACAAAGGAGACCGGGGCAACCTGTCAAGTGTTCCATGGAAACACTTCACAGGAAAAAAGCATACACCCTTTAGGTATACTACCCAGACGCTCAAGGGCCCTTATGGAGGGGTCGGACCCTCATATGGAGGAGTCTGGGGTCTCAAATCCCTAGGGTTTTGAGGTACCAAGAGCTGTTTGGAGCGTCTGGGTAGTAACAAGAAGCTAGTAGGTTGGATGCCATTGCTCCCTCACAAGAAATGACCCGCGCATGAATTCGCACCGAGCACGTCAGGAAGCCTCTTTTCCATTCGCACGACTACGTCCGGCACATCGCCAACGTGGTCAAGTTGTTAGGCGCAGACTCGTCCGTCGTCCCGTTACCGGTCGTCCGGGCGCGTAGACCCCGTTGTTTTGAAGACCCCGTTCACTGACCCTTTGGGGGCTCTCTCTGATGGTCCTGGTGTTGGGGGGACCTTTTTTGGTGTGTCCTTGTGGTGAGAAATACAGTTGAACGAAGACCTGAGAGTGAAAGTGGGAAGTAACATGTTCTTGCTTGAGGTTCAGTTTCATGCTGCTCCTTCAGCTTTAGTTCGGCGGATTTGCCACAAGAAATGCTTCTCGTTCCGAGTTTCGGCCCAACCTCCGCCCCCGCCACACGGCCCAGTCTCCAACGCCCGGTCGAAAGCGAGTTCGCGCGCGCGGCACGAACGGTGCAGGACATCCCAGGCATCGGACATGGACTGGGTGCAGGTGGACCGTGCACGCGCCTTCATCGCCCCTCGGTCCTCCGGGACGGTGTCGTGCACGGCTGGAAACGACGGCGGTCGGTGTCGGTCCGTGTTCGTTCGTCGGTGCTGTGTGGGTCCACGCGGTGGTCGGAACCGTGGTGGAAACGACGCGTCGGTCGTTTGGGGAGGTGTCGAGAGTTGGACCAAGTGTCGTTGAAGTGAAACGGACGAAGTACGCGGCACCAGGGAGTTTGCTGTCATTTGATTCCAGCTGCCAGCAGTCACTAGTCACTAGTCCTTTCATGCCCAAAAACTGCCTTCGTCTCAGAGGCATCCATGTGGGCATCCGTAGCTTCGATGGCCTTCTTTTGAGGGAAACAAAATACGAACAGCCGCGACGCCGCGGGTTCAAGAGAAGGGACCCGTCGTGGGAGACCGGCCGCCACTTGAGGGCCACTGCGATGATCCCGCAGTCCTGCGGTCGGTGGACTGCGCCCAGGCTGAGCTGCCCGTAGAGTTCAACGGTGACTGGGCCTCCTGCTGCGGGAACGCGGCCGAGTTACTGACCTCCCTGGCGTCTCGGTTGGAAGTTTTCTGAAGAGAACGGTGGTCGCACGTGGTTCGAATGCGTGGAACGGGCGATTGTTGGACGACCGGTGTTTTGGTGCTTAGTACACGGTTCATCCATAGAAATGAGCAGTTTTTGTTGTTCGTCGTCTGCAAAGCGGCTGGAGACCGGGGTGGTACTTGGAATCCGCCATGGTTGCTGTTGGAATGTGTCTGACTCCAAAAAATCTGGCCATCAATCTGAAGAGATTGCATGAAGGATCAACATTCCAGGGATTCCGACTCTATCTTATCAAGAAGGAAAGACTTTCGCAACCCATAGTAGTGGAGTCGAAGATAGTGGAGTCTTCCCTCCCATGAGACGAACGCCGAGATCGTCCGAGAAGGAATCTCCGAGAAGGCCTCAGGTTCGGTGGTTAGACCCCCCTGACACCCACCCCAACCACCTCAGAGGAGGTGGGCTTGTAGCCCTAGGATATAGACATCCCTTGACCGAAGACTCCATGTCATCCGAAGACTCCATGCGGCCGTCCATCATTTGTCCGGCTTTCGAGGTGGTCTTCGATCCACGGAAGCGTTGCAGCTGCCCGGAGGCATTGCAGCACAGGCGGGCGGGCGGCCGCCCGGGGGGGGTGAGTGCTGCGGCACGGGCGAGGGGAGCTGGTTGTGCGCAGCTGGTTGGGTTGGTGTGGCCTTTCCGAACATTCCGCATGAGTGGGCACAGCTGAAACAGGCCAGTTGGAGACTATGACGCGAACAAGGCTGGTCACGACTCGGTCGTTGGTACTTCCGGCAAAGGTTGCTGGACCCCGTCGAGAGTAGGACCTTGATCTTCCACAGATGGCTTGAGTTGATGGCCGGTCCTAGCTTCCTCCTTGCAGAAACACACGTTTTGCCCCATCTTCAGCCAGACCCTTCATCACTGTTCAAAGCCTCAGTGCTTGGGCAAAAAGCACGCAGGGCACGCACGCACACCACGCCACACGCAGATATGGCGCGCGCACAACGCAAAGAGCTCACGATCTCCTGGGGTGCCAACGCGGCCGGATGTGTCCCGTTAGCCCGTGGCGCCGCGCCCGCTTCGGACCCTCGGAGCCGCGGCCGAAGCGGCCGCAGCGGCCGCGGTGACGTTTCTTCTCCGCGGCGGAGGTGAATGGGGACAACGCAAAAAGCGGGAGGACTGAAGGAGTTGGAGGAGATGGGTTGGAGCAGTTGCGAACGCGAATTCTCCATCTTTGGCTGGCCAGATGCACTGTGGCTGGCCTGAAGAGTAATGCTTGGTGCCGTGTGGCCATGGGGTGCAGAACCAGATGACCTGACCGGGCGCGAGTGGCGCGCTTGGAGTGGAGGACTCCAGCTTTCCACATCCCCGTTGCTGGCCTTTCACACGGCACTTTCAAGTCAGACGAGGCAGGTTGGGGATTGCAGTGTCCAAACTCGCCCAGCGAGAGATGGCCAAACTCGCCCAGCGTTCGGCTTCCAAAAAGCGTGCAAATCGCACATGCCCCTGTCAGGACTGCCTGACAGGTCACCAGGACAGTCACCTGTCGGTGACCGACAGGTCAACGAGACTCCAAACTAGACAGGTCACCTGTCAAACCTAATTACGCCATGTTCAGAGGGTCAAAATCCATGGGTCAATCCAGATGTCCAAAAAGACGTCGATGACATCGGCCAGACTGCAATGAACGAAACCGATGGACGGTGGACGCGGGCCTTCCACCGAGCTGCGGGCTCGGGATCCATCAGATCAACTCACAAGCCCTAACTAGATTCTTGTTACTAGTGGTACGGCCAGGAGCCCCTAATAGCTTCTTGTTACTAGTAGCTTCAAAGACCTACTAGTAGCATCTTGCTAGTACAGGTGAAACGATTCCCAGGGAAGCTTCTAGCTACTAGTAGCTTCTCCAGCAAGTCCCTCTCAAAACGTATGTTTTTCAACCACATGTTCCTTTCCCCACCCCCAAATCCTCAACTCTACGGAGCAACCTGCAAGACTGGCCAATTGGTTCCACACCCTTCAATACCCTCGACTGGACGAGCAATACACCGTCAAACTACAAGTGATAATCTAGAATGTATGATACTGTGTGTAATTAGCCAACATTTACCTCAACAGATCTCAGAGCCAAAGCTACTGGGGCTGGCTCCCAAAACCTGAAAGTCACACATCAAGGAACGAACACGCCCCGCACACGAACTCACGCCACAACTCGCCACCCCAACCTCCCCAACCCCCAACCTCCCGCAGCCTTTTGGGCGGAACCGCTTCGCCGCACCGCACCGGAACAACCACGAGCACGGTGGCAGGTACTTCGCGGATTGGACGGACCCCGAAGACTCCAAGCTGGATCGTTGCGAGGCGAGGAGCGGCTGGAAACGGAGCCGGGAGACGGAGACGGGAGACGGAGGTGGCACCTCAAGAGACGGGAGCGGAGGTGTATCCAGAAAGAAATCACGAATAGATAGAAATAGAGGGGAAATAGGGGCACCAGAGGAGGTATGGAGCCTTGGATGTTGTTGGTTGACTTCGGTGGGCCCTTGTTGTATGAAGGGAAAGGTTCTCAGTGTGCTCAAATGCTAAATAGAACTAGTCTGAGCAAACGACTTCTTTAAGGGACCATGGAGCCATTCTGATCTGGCCACAAGGAGTTCAACCATCAGATCATCTTCTGTGTTCTCGTCAATTAGACACCCTGGTGGCCCTGGCCCGGCCATGGGTCCCAAAAAGACTATCACATGACCAGGTCCACATTGCTTTTCTGGTTGTGTGTGTCCGGCATTTGTAGGCGTGATGTCCGAAGGTGTATGGCAGGTGTATTTTTTTTGGCCCCTGGCTGCTGATCACGTCTGGAAGGGATATTTCTCCAGATGACCAGGCACCAAAAACGAACCCCTCATCCACCAAACGCGTCCCTTGATCGATTTTCAGGTCGCCCTGAAGCCTCACAGCATGACCCATGGCACATCCCAGCACTCATCTTCGCACCATTCACACCACCGGTGAAAACCCCCCTCGCCACGCCCAACCGGCGCCCGCTCCACCGGTCTCCCAGGCGCCCATCGACTGGCGCCGTTTGAGCGACCTTTGCTCGCGAGCCGCTCGGGAAGAGTGCAGAGCTCGCGGGACGCTGACCGGTGTACCGGTGGACAGCGGGGCATTCCGGGTCCCCGGCGGTTTTTGGGGGTCGGACCGGCTGTGTTAAGGTTGGAGGTTTGATGGTGGGGAGGTGTTCTTGGGGTTCGAGATGGTTTTTGTAGGTGTTTGTTTTTGTATTGCTGTTGCTGGAATGGTTGCTCTTGCCGTTTCTGCTTTAGTGTTTTTTCATTCAGCTGCTCGTTGATGCTTTGCCCGTGCCTTGCTGAAAATCGTGCGTCCCATCGTTCTCGTTGGAGTGCAAGAAGTCCTATTCGAGTTGCAAAAAGAGAACATCAAACCCTGAAGTGCAGATTGCAACGAGGCTGCCTGGTTTTACATTCTTCATCAGTCCGACCATGGGTACCACAACCTCACCCGCTTAAAAAGAATAACATGAATAACATATTCCTTCCACTGCTGAGGAGAAGCGACGTCAGTTTGTGAGCGAGGAGTGTCGGCGTCGGCATCCCGACTTCTTCTCAGATGGCGGGTGACCGGCGTCGACCGATCCCCCGAAGGGGGATCAGCCAGGAACCGCGGGGGGGGGAGGAATTGGTGCGGACGGACATGCCCAGCGTGATCGCATCCGACGCACGATTGCATGGCGCAGCGGTACCCGATCCGTCTTATCAGATCCGTCTGCAAAGCTTCAAAGCTCGATGAGCTCGAAGCGAAGGAGGTCCGTTTCGAAGGAAAAGAGATCGTCTTCATGACCCCTGCCGCGTGTCCGGAAAGTAGGCCGCAGATTCGCGAAAGCGCGATGCGGCGAATTCGAGATTGGCGAGAACCCTGCAAGGGGTTTTTGGGACGTTTTTGCGGGGGTGTCGACGGAATCGGAGCTTGTGTCGCACACGAGCCATTGGGCAACCTTCACGCACACAAGCTGATTTTGGAGCTTGAGAATTGCAAGCCTCAAGGGAGAATCTGTCACGCAAGGGGGATACCATCAGGATCCCCTGGAAAATAGGATGCCCATTTCGGAATGTTTCGACTATATCTCATCATATTTCAGATGCTCCGTACTGTTTGTTTGTGCAAAAAGGATACCCCCAAAAACTGCGAGGCTCGCCCCACGGTTGACCCCCCCAAGTCATGTTGGCCTCCAGACTCTCGACACCCTCATGGGAACCACTGGACAGTGGTCAAACCACAGCCAGGCGGGGAGCAGGATGAACCCTTGTTTCCCTTCCTGGATCCCGGTCCTTATAGTTCGCCTGCGGCCACACCGGCTGAACCCCAGGCGGATCGATTTTCACGTTACCGTTCAACGCACGCGGAATGTGGAGTGACTGGCAGAAGGCTGATCCCAGCAAGGACGACGGGTGAGGGGGTTCTTGAGATGTGTAGTGATGGATGATCAGGTGACTTGATGGATTGGTCCATTGGTTTGTTGGTTTCCTCACTGTTTGATTGGTTGCTTGGACACCCTTTGTGAGCGCTTCTGAATTGGTTGGGAATCTGTGGTTGTCAGGCTGTTCAGCAGTGACATGCAGATCAAACCATGGCCCATGGATGACCCCATTTATGGCCCATGCAAAAAAAGAACAGGAATCGACTCTGTTTCAGACACTTGGCCAACTGAGAACCATTTCCAGAATACCCGCCCTTGATTTCATGACACCCTTTGTTTAACGGAACAACCCCTTGCTTGTTTGCGGAGTTTTAGACCACCAAGGAGCCCGTTTTGTTTCAAAATGGATCGAACAGAAGGATTTCAGGTGAATTCCCAACGCCCGGCTGATCGTCGTCGTCCGTCTGCCGACTCGATGTACCTGCGTGCGCATCCACAACGGATTTGCCATGCAAATGCAAGCGGGGTACGAAAGCGCCAGCGCAGGTTCACCGCGGATTTGACGCTGGGATGGTGGGTGTGAAAGGATGTAAGAAGGACTTTTCGGCCATCCAAACTGGGCAGGAATAGATACGTCAAAGACCCTGCAAAAAGGCGGGTTGTGGTGGGGGGTCCTGCGACTTGCTTAACTGAATCTTTCTAGGGGGATCTACAACTCACATCTTGAAAAGTGTAGGTAATCGTGGTGGGCCATGCTCAGACGTAGAACTCAGGATGCGACTTGGTCCAAGTGGTTTGTTCATACCAAACTTGCATGTCATTGTGCATGGTCTCGGGGATACTCAGATGTTTGAAGGACTTTTTTGAGGTGACTCAGTGCTTCAATGACGTGAAAAAAGATCTCGGAAAGTATCACTGGAAGAGTAACTCCGAAGTATTTCACACATTTGCTTTCAGAAACGCCCTTTGGGAGGTCTTATAGACCTCTTGGCTATAGTAGGTTGGAGGCCAACGGGGACCACGAGTGCTGGTGCTCCCGTGGGGCGAAGCTGAACGGTGGTTTCCGGGGATGTCTCCCACGGACTCACCGAAGGTGCAAGAAAGCTGCCAGGAAAACCACCAAGGGGGGAAGCCCAGGGGAAGCCTATCCTGGCAGTCTATCCTGCTTGCCAGGGAAGGTTAGGGGAAGCCCAGAAATGTTTTTAACAAGTTGCTCAAGGAAGCTGGAGGCTCTCCTCTTTCCTCAAAAGGCGCAAAGAATGCCTTTTTGCATTCTTTGGTTGGTGACCAATAGCACCAAACTTGGATTTGATAGGACACTGATGGGCGAGGATGTCTCTACATGGCTTTTTTGCTAGATAACCCTGGTAAGTGCAAAAGTAAAGGAAAGCCCAGCAGTTTGGGGCTGCTGTTGTTTTTTGTTGGGCCATCTCTTGATGCTGTTCCCGAGTCCAAGAAGCTTTTGGTGCTCTTGACCACCATTGACTGGAATGGCTGGGAGAGAGCATACCTGCTCTCACCACCCAACCCCGCAGTCATTCCAGTTCCCCAAGGGCCTCCATGGTCCTCGGATCGTTGGAAGAGCGGCCCAGCAGATGCCTTGGCGGCTTGTGGCTCAAGAGCGGCCCAGCTTGTGTCGCCTCTTCATCTTCACTCGACAGTGCTGTCGTCGACTCAAAGACCCCACTGCGGCTGTCCACGGAACAGGACACCGAGGTCAGAGAGGTCAAAGTGAATTGGTCCAGAAACTGCCAACTTTAGGTTCACTTCCTGACTCATCCACATGAATTCATAACTTCTTCCTTCTTGGGTGTGAACCCGAGTCCCTTAGGTGCCCACCAAAAAGGACCACGAACGGTCTTTGGTTGGTGTCCCGAGCCGTCGGGATCAAAGCTTCGTGTCAAGCGAACCAGTGCAGCAGTGCGAGCGCCAGTTCAAGCCCTCTCCTACCTCTCCTACCTCTCAGGCATTGCCTGAGGAAAAGTTTAGTGACGAACACAGGGACGATCCGCGCAAACCGCGGTGGCCGTGACCTTCCCACACGGTTCCACCGACGGTGGCTACGCGTAACACCGCGTGTGCACCACCGCGACGGCGCCATGGACTTTCGCCTGAAAGGCCCCAAGGGTCAAGCGACCTTGCGGAAAGTGCCGCCCGAGCGACCACTCGAGGAGTTCCTTCAGGAGCTGGGCGCCAGCGACAGCGGGCGGAGAATGGTGTTTGGGGAGCCAGGCAGAGCGGTGAAAGCTGGTTTTGGTTGATGTGTGATGTGTCAGGAAGCAGTTCCCAGCGTTCTTTCGGGTGACCAGGACTCCCAGATTTCTTCCTTCAGATTCGGCGGGGGATTTTGGATTGCCAGTTCTGAGTGACGAGGGGATTGTGAGACCTTGTAGAGTAGCACAAGAAATTCGCGCGCAAAGCCTCAAATGCGTATTGCACGATTTGCCCCCAAAAGGTATACTAGTAACAGTAACTAGAAGCTTCTTGTTACTAGTAGCGATGGCCTCCAACCTAATTAATAGCCATGGTCTCCACCTAGTAGCTTCTAGCTACTAGTAGTCTTTCTTGCAATACAGAATCCCAGCTTGCTGGGGAGTGTCCCAAAACCATCACCGATCGCCGAGAATGCCGAAATCAGAAACGTTCGAAAGATCACCCCGTTCGGTTCATCCGTGAGACTGGCAGAGCTGGGGATTGACGCCTGGGGTGGAGAGACCCTATGGCGAATTGTCTGGAGAGCGGTGGTTTAAGCGCAGACGTGTCGACAAGATCCGACAAGTCTTTCACCACCTGGCACCGTATCGAGTCTAGTGCACAGCCACTGCACACATTGGTTCAAGTGTGTTTCTTTTGTTCGTTTGTTTGTTGCTTGGTATTTTGTTTTGATGAAAAACAAAGAATAGAGAAACAAAAACTGCAATTTAACAAGCTTGGAGCGAAGCATGTTTTGAAGAATAAATGTACTTTGTTGGCCATTTGTTAACGCAGCAGACCATATTTCGTGGGCGAACCAAGTATAATTGTCACCATTCCTGATGCAGGGCTGCTTCCAACTTTCCAGAAGAGCTTCTCCACAAAAACCATGCGTTTTTCCCAATGACAACTCCCTGTGTGTCAGGGCTATTGGAGCTTGGAGCGGTGAATGTGTTTCTCACATGTCAATCCTCAATGTCTTCCTTCGCAGTTTTAACAGCCCACTTGAGCTGAGCGGATTGTCAAAGAGAAATGGAAGTACCATCCCCAAAAGAAAGAGTTTTATCCGTTTAAGCGTGGTACAATGATTTACCATGAGTTCCAGGTCTACCCCTTATCGCTGCCATCGTATTCATGCTGGTAACATACTTATTGTTTCATCTTGAAGTGCTCAATTTTTTTCTTGAACACCTTTGCATTCAGACCGTTTTCGGCCGCTGCACCGACCACGTGTTCTTTGTGAGGAAGCTCCAACCTAAGAGCAATGGCCTTCAGCATAAGAGCAATGACCTTCAGCCTAAGAGCCATGGCCTTCAGCCTAAGAGCGATGGCCTCCAGCCTAGTACACCAACCTAAGAGCAATGACCTTCAAAGCATTTCTCTCCTGGAAATGGTTCCTTTTGCCCCCTCACATCCACCTTCTGCGTCAGGAGATCTCCGATGCGTCCGGCGTGCCAGTGCCATGCTTGAGTGCGGTGGCTCAAAGGGGACGGGTCGGGTCGGGTTGGACGGGTCGAGGGCCGGGAAACGGAGGACTTGGACTGGCGAGGTCTTCTTTTGGACTTGGTGTGGATGGGAGGGATCAGATCGGAGCTAGGGAATCCATGGCTGCCAGAGCTTTCTTGAAAAAGGGGGGGCGAAGGAGCTACAGCGAGTTGTCATGAGTTGTCCAACCACTGGCGAATTTTAGGTTTCTACCCAAAGAATCCGAGCCCGAAGCAATACACAGGGGTTTAAGTTTAGAATGCTTTAGAGGGTCCAGACCCCTGCTGGAGGGCCCGTTCGGATTCGGGTCGGGTAGAGTCAAAGCTCCAAACTCAGGGAGTTTGCTGAAAGGTTTGGACTGCTTGGAATCCTGTGGGGAGGAGACCTCAGGAGGTGTGTGAAGGCAGCATTTTAGCATCACACTCATGTGGCCATGCCGGCTTGTTTGAAGCTATGGTGTTGGGCACGGCAGCTGACGACAGCCACGTCGTCCGCATGGGCCGCGTCGCGGCTACGATGCCGTCTCGCTATACTGCTCATGCTCAGGCAGGCTGATGCTCACCCCGCAGCCGGGTGCCAACTCGGGGTGAACTCCTCTTCTTTGGAAAAAGATGATGCTTTTCTGCTTGGTGAATGGTGGAAGCCAAGTCTGCTTGTCACCGCAGCTTGAGAAAAGCCGTTTGCAAAGTGCCGACAAGCCGTTTGCATCCTGAAATCCCAGCCAGAACAGCGTGCAGGCTTGCTTGCTCCGTGTAAGCTTCGCCACGGACCGCGTCTGAAACGGGGATCACTGGTCTCTTGAGCTTTTGGTCACTCTTTGCAGCAGAGCTGCTGTATGTAACACACTGTTATGTAATCACATGAGCTGTAACGTATGTAGTGTAAGTATACTGTTATGTAGCTCACTGTGTATGTAACACAACGTACGTATGTAGTCACATCTTCAAATTCCTTTTGTTCTGCCACCTCTTCGGCGGCCCCACTCTGTGGCAGCGAGCATCGCCCCCCTCCTGCAGATGTGCAGAACATGTCGCCTTCCGCGCCTCCATCATTTGGCCAAGGGTCGACCGTGATCGACGCTGCTTTTGATTCTGTACTTAAAACCTAGTGAGGAAAGCTCGTCCTGTTAGACTTATGTAGACTTATGTTAGACTTTTGATTATGGAAAGCAGTGAGGAAGTTGAATTGAAACCGGGGAGACCCTGGTGATCTTGTACTGTCTTAAATCTTCTGCGCTGCGCAAGCCTTGAAGTTTCCCTGGTCACGTCGTTGTTTTGGGAGGTTTGCCACGAGGTGGTGGTCTTCGGGTCTTGGACTAGATAGCGTGAACTGATGTTTCAGCAAGGTCCCAGGTGCATCGAGATCTCGGCGTAGATGTTTCTTCCAAGTCCTTTGGAGAATCTGTGAGAGATTGGACTCTGCAGTGTGTGACCAACCTCCCAAAAGACCCACAGGAGGTCCATTTGCCCGGCCTCTTCCGTCAGACACAGCCGTGCGTGCTCCGTCTTGAGGCCTCCGGGTGGGTTTTCCGCCCCAGCCGTTGCAGCTGCGCCTGGGCTCAGCGGCAGACACGGCGACGGGGCATGGGGACTGGGCCTCTACGGAGCGCGCGGGCGCGAGGGACCGGGCGTCGCTGGAAGTGGTTGGGGGGCAGAATTCATGCGCAAATATATAGAAAAAGGAATCATATTGGTGGAGGGTCCGCTTATTTGCCCGGCACCCCCAACCTGCAGGTGGTTTTGGTTCACCCAACCTACACTCATTCCAATCTACACTACTACAGAGCAATAGAAGTTTTTCCAGGTATGAAGCGAGGCCTTCAGTTTCACACGCACGCTCTATACAACATGTTTGGCTTCACTTAACCATATTCCTGAGTCAACCCCATCAACAAGTGTCCAACCATTTGAAGCCTGTTCTTCCTCACAGACATCCTGCATCATGCATCCCCCATGTTCAAAGCCTTTCCAGGTAAATACCACACATGCCATGGTTCGGGCACAAGCCTCTAGGCGTCTTCTGGCCCCTCCCTGCATGTCCCTGGCTTTCCGTGGTCCATCCCATGGCTTCTCCTCCCCCCAAGGCCGGAGGAGAGCGCGCGCGGCGCGGCGACGCTGGCCGCGTTGGGCTTGAAGACCGGAGAGTCCATCGTGGTGCAACACGTGGAGCCGGTCGCGGCGCAGGGCACGGTGCTGAAAAGGAGCGGCGGAATTGGGACGGGGAGGTGGGGAGTGGCCGTGGTCGGCGCGAATGGGGGATGAGGAGATGACAGGGGTGGGGAGAGGTTCGTGAAACGATGCGGTGCGTAAAGGAGCGGGAAAGCTTGCAGAAAAAAGGTGGAGAGTGACCAATCCAGTGGACAAGGTGGGTCATAAGGAGGATTCTCAGGGCACGGCATCAAACACGCCTCAAGAATACGCCATTGAAAGCCGCTCCAACACCCGCTGGAAATCGACGTGGAACAGACTTGACCCATCTAAGCACGTGTCCAAGCGCCCTTGCTTTCAGAGATGACCGGGAACTGGCAGGGAACCTTGCCCCTTTCATCAAGGACCATGTTCCCCCCGCGTTCCCATTCCATGTGAATGGCGAGTGGCGAGGTTAGGGGTCCATAAACGCCGTGCCATCCACGGCAAAGACGATTCTTCCCTGGAATGTGCAAGACAGCAGGCTGGCCAATGGGAGTGATAGAATGGCATGAACAGCAAGCGGTCAAAATAGGATTCTGGAATGGCCATCGTGACCGCACGCATCTTTGACAAAAAGAGCTTGGAATATTGCGTTCAGCTCAAGTGCGTGGAGAATCGCTATTTTTGTCCACCCCTCATTTTTTCTTGTTACGATCGTGGCCAGAGTGTTTCGCACTTTGACCGGAGGCATCCATTCTTCCAAGCCATCTGTGCAGAATCACACGCTGCTGTAGCTGGGCGTGTTTCACAAGCACCCACCCGTGATTTGCATGCTACTAGGTCCATGCCCTAAGGCGTATCATCCTCAAAAAAGGCGTATCTTTGGGCTGTGGCCATGCGGAGTAGCATTCCAGCAGTAAACTTTACATACTTTTGTGCCTGCGCTTGCATATATCACCCGTCAGGGCGGTTGTGCCTTGCCTTGCTTTTATTGTAAGGACCTCCAGGTATCTCGATGAAACTGATTAAATAACCCGGAACTCGGCCAGCTTCAATCTTTGCCTCGAGCTTCATGGTTTTCTTAATCAATCCCTCGCAAACCGTTGGCTTGTTCAATAATGCAGGGAAAAGTTGAGAACCTTTTTGTGGGTGCCCTCTTTTGGCACATGTCTATGAGACAGACTATTGTGAGGCACTTTTGTTGTCTTGGTCTTCATGATCGGAGAGGATGCAAGCCGGCCCAGCTGGGCAGATCCATGTGAGACTGATCTCATGATGACAATCTCTGCTGACCAGTGGAACGAACGGAGCTTCGGACGAATCCCTGGGAGCCCCACCACATCCCGTGGAAAATCGGTTCCACCTCTCGCACTGAGCATCGCGGCATAGGTATCAAAAAAAAAAAGCATCAAAAAAAAAAATAGAAACAGGATCAAAAAAAAATAAAAAGCGAATCAAAAACTAAATATTCCTTGATAGGCCTCTTCTGCTGCTCTCCTGGCCTTGTGGTCTGCGGGTCCTCTGGTAATGTGGTCCCTTGGTCCTTTGGTCCCTTGGTCCTCTGGTCCACTGGTCCTTTGGTCCCCTGGTCCCTTGGTCCTTTAGTCCACTGGTCCCCTAGTCCTCCTGTCTCCTGGTCCTCTGGTCCTGTGGTCCGCTGGTCCCCTGGTATCCTAGTCCTTCTGTCTCCTGGTCCGCTGGTCTTTTGCTCTCCTACGGCGCTCGTCTGTCGATCTCCTGGTCCCCTGCTTGCGCAAATAGAGGCTTGATTGCTTTCTACTAGAGGCAGCTCCCTGGGAAGAAAGTAGGTACCCAACGATAAGGGAGCTTTTGGGGAGGTACACTCTCCTTTACTACCCCAACCATCCTCAGTGGGCTAGAATATTTTTTTGTTGATTACCTTTTTATTTTTTTATTGATCCCCGTTGAGTATTTTTTTTTTGATTCTATTTTTATTTTTATTTTGATCCCTTACCCTGAGCATCGCCTCCAACAGCTGCTGGGCAGGATCATCGCTGCGGACAACAGCTGCCTGTTCAACGCCTTTGGCTACGTGCAAGAGAAGCTCCGGGACAAGGCGAACGCCGGTCATCGGGTGCGCCGATCATTGGTTTCGGGTAGGTGTTCGTCGATCAAGTTCCAGTATCAAGAGTGATGTTGTTGCAAAGAAGTGCGGGAAAACCGTCCGTTTTTTTAAACCGGGTGGTGTTCTCTTTTTGAAGTTGCCTTTGTTTGTTCAACGCGTTGCAACAAAAAATGATTTGCAACACTCGGGACCCATCATCCGCTTGATCTGCGTGATGGAACGAGACCAGACCGGTGTTCCTTCCCATCCAAGAAATAGACACCGATTTCTCAATGTACAATGAGGAACACACTCCGCGCTTTGTGGAGAACACAAAACCATAAATGAATGTTGTGTTAATGAGCTAGAAAGGATACGTATGGTTTGGGTGTGTCACTTTACACGATGAAACCATAGACCAAAACCACTGGTATGAAGGAACGCAAAGTGTTCAATCCTTGGTTGGGAGTTCCTCAAGTCAAAACACAAACGCCATACATTGTTCCAACTCTCTAAGGCGGAAACTGGAGCCAAAACCCCCCGGGCCAAAGAAAAACAATCGCCCAAACATCATGCCTCTTAGTATCGAACTCAAAAAGAAGACGATGGAATTTAATTAGAATTGTAATTACTAGCTTTTTGTTACTACTAGTAAGGCACCTGTTACTACTAGCGTGGCACTTGTTCCTAGTAGCTTATTGTTTCTAATAGCTTCTTGAATTAAATGAGGCACCGAGTCTTCACCGTCGCACCGATGCATCTTTCTCCACCCTTAAACCCACCACCATCCACCACCGCCCGGGACTCGCCACCGAACACCGCGTGGGCACCGAAAACCTCCACCGGTTACAACCCCACGGAGGCGCCCAGCTATCGTCAGCTGGTGGCCCAGCGGATCAAGGAGGACCCGGAGCGCTTCTCCGAGGCCGGTCGACCGGGCCCCGATCGTTTCGGAGCTGTCGGATAAAGCTTCACACTGAGAGTTCCGTTGGCAGTTCTGAGCTTAGCCTCAAGTCTTAGCTCAGAGTTGGCCAAAAGAACAAGAGCTAAGACTTGAGGCCTTCTCAACACCGCCAACCTGCTCAGTGCGGTCGGGCAGAGTGCTCCTGCCCCGAGCGGAGCAGAGCTGCTCCGGGTTCACCGTAAACGGACCTTGCACGACCTGGTGACAGGTAGATACAGACCCATTCGCCTTCAGTTCGAGGAATGGGCCCTGGTTTTGTGGGAACCCAAACCCTTCATAAAAACCATGGTTCTTTGATGGTCCTTTGGTATAGAGACGATTAAATCCATGTTGGAATCTTGGGGTATATACCCTGGAAAGTAGGTCACGACATTTGAAACACGGGGGGGATCTTGGAAGACTGTCACTGATTCGGCGTTGCATCTTTGTTCAGCAGACGGTCGATGTGTGGATGCGTCACCCAGGCCATGGCTGTTCCAACCCACTGACGCGAATCATCACACGATCACAAGCCCTCTGAACGCAAGCGGCGGTTCACTAGTGACTTAGTGGGTAAACTATATTCCGATGGGTTCGAGCATAGCAAGGACTGCGAACAATTTGGGTTCGATAGCAGTGAATCACTTCAGGTTTCACGACAGCCCTGATGCGATGTAAAAAAGGCAGGGATCTCTGCCTAAACTCACCTGATCGTGCCCAAAGAACCTATCGGCTTTGCCCAAGGAACCTCCCTGAAAGGCATCGCTCCACTTGCGTTCGTTAACTGCCCCACACTCGTGGACGGCCATCCCACGCCGTGGCACAGCGTGGCACCGTACGGCGTAGGCCTTCTTGGCCAAGCCCAACGAGGAATATTGCAGTTGGATCTTGAAGGACGGAGTAAACGGAAGGCCACATGAGCAGAAAAAACACAAAAAACGATGGCTCCAACTGACTTCAGTGGCTCCAGTTTTTTCCCTGTGCAGCAGCCGCGAACATGGTGACCGGTGGGTGGGCCATGATCGAGCACATGTTGAAATTGTCGCAAGGGTGGCGACAATGAGCAGAACCAAACATATCAGCTGGGCCGGCGGGTTTTGCATGATAGATCTGCCTCCCACCCATTAAAAACCTACCGTGAACATCAACGGAGGAATGTTTGCACCCAAGACAAATGCGCGCGAGCGTGTTTTCATACCGAACTCCGTGAATTGAACTGCTGCTTACAATCACAGGAAGTGCGGGTTTGCATCCAGAAACGGCCCAAAGATATCTTGCCGAACCTCCTTTCGAAACCTTCATTTGAGGACCCCACCCAAAGAAAAGGGACCCTTCCTTTCAGAACCACTGAAGAGTGCGATCCGATGCAATCCTTTTGGGATTACGTCGGACCCTCCAAACTAGCATAGCGTGCAAGAAGTCCTCCTTTTCCCACTAGCATCGCCGGTTCTTTTTTTCGTCCAATTGCTCGCTCTGGGCCGGCCTGGTGGCTGTCCTCGCAGTGGGCCACCCACTGGGGTTTCGCCACCTTCAGGATCAGAGCTGGGGTGGTGCCATTGAGCTTAGCATCCTGGCGGAGCACTTCCAATGCGAAATCGCTGCCTATGTGCCTTGGACGGTTTTGGGAGGCCCGAAGGATCCCGGTTCTGGATCACTCCGGCGAGCTGGAATCCCGGTCCAAACACAAGCAGAAGTGATTGGGCGGTGCGGGAATCAGCGGTGCCCCAAGTAAGTTACAGCAACGGCTTTCAATGCAAGTGTTCAGGGGAATCACCTGTTCTATATATCCATGTTGAGCTCACTATTTTACTTAAGGTAGGTACTCCCACTTGGTTGCATCATCCAGGTCAACACAGCGACAACGTGTGTGGAACGTGTCTTCAGGACAAGTTCTGCGTTCTGCCCTGCCTCAACGAGAGCAACAGCTACGGCTTCGACCCGTCTCGATGGATCCGATGGCCCGAACGGCCGATGGCAACGAACGGTGCAAGGGTGCAGAACAGGATCGAACTCGCGGTTGCTCCGAAGATCGCACCACGATTCACTTGCCGCGATTGCCGCAGCTTTGAGGCTGCCGTGCGAGTCTCGAAGCTTCGGTCTTTGATCGTGAAGACGCAATGAAGACGCAATGAGCTGCAAAAAGGCCAAGCTGCGACACTTTGTGTGGATGATGTGACTGGCGTGCTTCCTGCAAAAGCGAAGGCGCTCCAGAAAGGGAGCTGTAAAGAGAAGTCCATCCAAAGTGGACGATACAGTGTCGCCTGAAGATTGGTGATGCGAGTGATGGCACGTTGGGAACGTGGTGTATCGACACTCAAAATGTTTCAATATCCCAGGACACTCAAAATGTTTCAATATCCCAGTTGCCAAGTCAGCATGGGAGGATTTGTTTTGTGCCCGACTTTTCAATTTTCTGCATCACTCTCCATACCCTAGGCCCCGCTTTGTCACCCTCTTCTGGGAATTGTCGCCCGCTAGTCAATCTGGATGTTTGAGAGGGACCCAGGTTTGATCAGAAGAAAAATCCAATTGACAGATCGGACAGTGCCTTCCAATCACCTTTTGGAGCTGGTGTCCGTTACACTTGAGCAGCAGGTTGATCTTGGGAACATCTATACCCTTATATTGGGCGTGTACTTTATTTTTGCCCAGCGGTCTAGGCTTCTATCTTTTTCCCTTCACCAACCTAGGGGTGTCGTTGCGTGGGAGATCTCCCTTTTTTCAGAATGCACATCCGTTAACCTAGCCTTCTAAGCCCATGGAGGAAAGTGGTTGAGCTGGTTTTGTAGTCTACAATCCTTAGTGAAACAAACGCGTTGCGCGTGGCTGAAAGAATCGATCCAAAAAAAATCCCATCACCATCACCTGAGCCCTGCGGAGGGGTGGGTAGTGACAGGTGGTCTCACATAAACAGATCCAGGCAGCTCGACGGCTCGCACCACACCGGAGAGAGAGAGAGGGAAAACGAGTGGTTTCACGGTTTCGTTGTGGGCCTCACGTCGCTAGGGCCCGGCCGCTTCGTCCCGTTCCCGTCTTTGGGTGACGCAACGAAGACGTCTCCGAAAGAAGAAGGTCCGTCTTCGATGGGCGAAGAAGGGCGAAGACGGTCCCTCCAAAGGATTCCGAAGAATCGGTCTCAAGCCGCGCTCACCCGTGTTCTCCTTGGCTTTCGGGGTGTCTTTGGAAACCTGGCTCGTTGGAAGCCAAGCCCCTGTCGTAGGTTGACCGAAAAGAAGAATTGGTTCACCTGGGCCGTCCAAGGTGCCTAGCAACCCACACATGATAGGTCGCTCAAGCCCAGAGCAGCAAAGCTCCTTTACGACTGCAGCGAAGTACTCCACATACGACTTCCCCCTGGTCCTTGCATGACTCAATTAATAGAATGAAATCCTTTTTTGGTATAAATCATGAATAAGATTCTTTGTTTTGTTTCCATCATTCTTCCGAAAGATGATGTGTCTTTTTCTTTTCCTCTTTGTTACTTTATTGCACTGGTCCTTCCGTTCAGGACATTTGCACCAAGCGACGGGACCTGCACGGCGAGGGGCAAGGCTACCGCACACGGTGCATGTTGATCTACGCCGCTTGGGAGTGGTGACTGTGTGGGGACATGGTGAGACCGCGGGGAAAGCCTAGGAGATGGACTGACCAACCCTTTCGTCCTCTTCGTTTTATTTGTTTCTAATGGCGATTCCAACCTATACTATAGCAATAGCCTCCAACCGACTAAGCAACCTCCCGTCCGCACCCGGAAGCACTCCGGGAGCCCGTCATGGGAGCCGGCACGTCCTTTTCGCCACCGAAGAAGCACATTTTGTGGTGCGGGAGGCAGAGACCATTTTAAGGAGTCAGTCTGTAGAACAAAAGAATGTGCCACATGAAGAGAGAGCTTCCTCCAGACCACATGGTTGCCTGATGGCGCGCACACACGGTTCCCAGAGTGGTTCAGATGTTTTCTCCAATTCAACAAGTGCAGGGTAGTTCCATGTAGTTCCTAGTATAGCCCCATAGAATCACTGGGATCCTGCATGAACCACCTTGGTGAGGCAAATTAGGGCTCCAGGGCTTTGGCGTTCATGTTCCATGTCTGACTACCGTTTCCTTCCATGTCTACCATCCCGAAGCCAATCGACCCGAAGCCGCCGCCGAGATGTCCGTATCAAGTTTTGGGGCAGGCATGGGGGAATTTCACAAGCCAACCAAGCCGGTGTCCGAACCGGTTTCCGAAACCCCAATCTAATCCGATCTCAGAACTGGGAGAATAGAAAAGAGTGTCTGAGATTGTTTCATGGCTGCCGACATCCTCATTTCAATGCCCTGGATGGCAACTAATCAAGTGTTTATCCACTATCCCACGATCTGCCACTTTTTACTTGACTATCAAGACCACTTCTCCCTCACCTCGCCCAAAAAGTAATTCCAAAAATAGTATACCACTTGCCGCACTTCAACCGCCTTAGCAAAAAGAAAGCGGGTTTAGGCTTTCGAACGGTTTTCGGAGTCCTTCGCTTTCCTCGTCTCCCTCCCTCGTCTCCCACCGCTCCGAGGATGGAATCCACTACGACGCCTTGGCCTTGGCGAAAGACCCCCAGGCGCCCGAGGCCGAGGACGTGACCGTCTTCCCCGCCGGTGCGGACACCTCAGCGAACTCGCCTGGGCCGCGGGACCAAAGACAGCGAAGACGAAGACGAATATTGGGTGGGGAGGATGGGGGTGGTTTCTTCACGTTTTCGGGTTGTTTTTTGTTTGGTTTTCGGTTTCAGCCTGGTTTCAGCTTGTTCATTCCAGACCAGGTGCCGATCATCCTGAATCCTGCACGAACCCAAATGAAGCAAATCGTCAGGACGTCAACAAACCGAGCTTTGGCAGTTCATGCTTTGTTTAAGGGGAAAAGATAGGTTTTGGAAAGATTCGGAACCCAAAAAGCATGAACTTGGAAAGGAATCAATTCCAGACACATCCCAAAACTGGATGGATGGTGTTGGGTGTTGTTCTTTTTTCGATCAAAGAAGGGTGCCTCACTTTCAAGTCATTTGCGGCAGGACGCATCCTGTCCCGCGGTGTTGTTGCGTGGCCCTTCACCCACATGGTTTGTTCTTTCTTGTCGGTCCTCGAAACCAAGAGGCACCGGCCGAGATGGTTTTGTATCGGCCGAGGAAAGGGTGGCGTAGCTCTAAATGCACCGACCCTGTTCGGCCCAACCTTTTGCAAAAGAGGGTTTCACAAGCCACCGTCTTTTGTGGCAGACTCTGTGTGACTTGCTCAGCTGCTTCTCAACAAAGAGTGTATGATTTTCCGGTTTAGGAAGATTCACACTTCACACCCCACCAGCTTTCGGTGAGGCAAGATGCCCCAAGGACCCCCAGGGCACTTTGCCAGGTCTGTTTCTTCGACCTCCACGGCGGCGGCAGTTGAACCGGACCAAAACCACGGCGAGCTCAGGTGGCGTGGCCGAGGTGGTGGACCTGAAAGCCCGTGCGTTGGTGGAGGAACAGCACCAGCAACGGCAGCACCTCGACCCCGCAGTCCTCGTCCGTTGCGGGCCGAGTTCCAGCGGGTTCCGCGGGTTCCGCGGGAAGGGCGGGAAGGGCGTGGGTGGAAGCGCCAATGGTGCACGATTCGTTTGGGGGGTGGGGCAGGTTTTGCCACCAGGATCAGCACAGAGTAGTGGAGATGGAAAGGAAGGACATGTCAAGTTATGAAAAGCCATGCACAATTCTACCTTCCGGCTGTACCGACAGGCAACCACCAAAGGACGCACTGCCCAGAACTGCCTTTGCCGCTGGCACTTGGCAACTCATGTCCGCTACAGCAAAACCAAGTTGAGACGCCACAGACATGGAGTCATTGCTCCAACTTGACAATGCCCCTGGGAGCTGGCGAACGAACAAACCAAGATGGTCAAACCCAAATCATTCTCGCCTTCGGGGGCCAAAGAAACATAAAGAAACCCTTCCTGGGAATGTTTGGCTGCTTGGCGTGCTTTATATAAAAATTTTGGAACCTACAGTGCGTTTGGTTGTAGCAACTACCTCTGAAGTTGTCCGCCTCACATATTTAAAAAGGGCGTTGGGGAGCAGTCCTGGGTATTTGGATCTCCTCACATACTCTTGTCTTTCAACAGTCCAACAGATGGGGGTGACACCTCGATCGGAAGATGGACACCAGCTTCGCCGGCAGCTTCGCCGTGCTTTGGGAGATCGGTCATTCTACAAGGCTGTTCTTGTTTGTGGCTGCCAAATGGGACCGATGCGACTCTGCTTTGCTTTTCCCCCTTCCGTTCGGAGATCATCCGAAGCGTTCGGATGCTTTGTGGCTGCCGAATGCCCATGCACAAAGAGCTGCGTTGTGCGTTTTTCTTGAGCGTCCGGAAAGTGTCATTCCCAGAGCAGGCAAGGTGTGTTTAGCAAGACCATCGCAAAAAGACCACGCCAAACCCCATCATCCCCCATGCATGAAGCCTGGTGCATGTCAAAGCAACTTCATGCCAAATTGCAACAATTTTGTCACTGAAACCATTAATTGAAGACGAGAACTGCTTTCAAGTGAGAAACGCACGAATTCCCACTGGACCATCAGAGTTGGTGTGAGCCAAAAGATACCTCAGCCGCACAGAACTGTTCTTTTCGGTTGGTTCGAAGGATTCTGGACCGCTGTCCTACGCACTCTTGCTGGGACGACCTATAGGACCTTTCGTTGCCATCTCACCACCCGTAGCACGACCTGCGAGGTTCACCGACACCGGGAGCTTCTCGCTGCGGTGCATCGACTGTCAGAAGGGCTTGAAGGGCGAGAAGGAGACCGAGCGACGGACGTAGGTGGGGCCACTCTGTCTTTGGCTCGGTGTGTCAATGAGTCACAAGATGTTCACGGAGAAGAAGTTGGTTCAAATCCAATGGTTTTCAAGCACCAGACCGATCGAATTCCCTACCTTTTCTGGACTGGGTAACTTAATTTGTGGGTTCGATCATCAAAAGCATCACAGAGTTGGTGAATGTGTCAAATCTTATGAAGCCCCGTACTCTTCAGCTGCTTTTGCTTATCTATCCAGTCGTTCGCTGAAGAGAATACCTCTCCACTCAGTGTTTTTGGAGTTCCGCGGGACGTGTTTGGGATCGACATGAGCTGACGAAGCAGCGGATTCGAACACGACAGAGTGTGGAGAAGCCTCTATAGTGAGAACATAATCCTGACTTTAGATAATCCAACAGAAGGAGTCTTGGATCCAGTTGACTTTGATTGTCTTCCTCCGTGGAGGTCTGTGACCGCTATAGCTACCGGTTGAGTTCGGGATTGCTGTCACAACAATGAAAAAATCAAAGGCATCAACTGGTGAGCCACTCCTCCGACTTCGCGACGAATGTCGCAAGGTGAGTCGGACAAAGAAGTTGAACTCCCAAACGTTGCTAAGTGAGAGCAATCCAAAAGCTGGACAAGTTGATGACTAAGCTGGGCAAGTCGAAAGAGCATGACCCCGCTGAAAACAAGAACCAACACCAAGAGCATGACCGAAATCTGCCGGGATGACCCCGGTGCAGTGGAACAGATTCCTGTTCCAAGCGCTTGGAATCAAACGGCGTAGCTCCTCGGGACTCACGGCGTAGCTTTTGTTTACCACTCAATCGGAGGAACATCGAAGAGACTTCCGCCTCTTCAGCCAGCGGTGAGACTGCGGTGCCACACCAGTCTCTTCATTGCCCGCCAAAGGGGTGGTTTCTTAGTTTTTGCACTGGATGCTACTTGGTGGATTCCCACACCAAGAGGAGCAGCGACTCGACAGTCTCCAACAGGCTCCAACAGCGACCAGTGCATTACGGATGGAAATTCCATATGATACATGACATGCATCAATGGGAGATGAACATGGAATGTCACCCTCCCCAAGCCTCATGAGTTGCCAGGCTCAATTTCAGGGGTGCAATTTAGGTTGGAAAGAGGTCTTTGGTCCATTTGGGTCCCTGTTTGTCCCTCAACGATACCACTATAAACTGATTCACCCTCTTGCCGCTCTTCCCACCTGTTTCACCTCAGGAGGCTGAAGCTCATGCACAAGCCACAGGTCACACCCGCTTCGCGGAGTTCTAGGCGCCCAGCGAGGCAGCGCCGGCAGCGACGAGTTCGTGGGAGCGAGGAGTTGGTCCCGGAGCGAGGAGTGTGGCAAAGAACCTTTGTGGATGTGATTTTTGGTAGAAAGATCAATGGCCCCCAGACTGAGGTGGACACACTGGAATTCATTGAGAACCCCCAACAGGAAACTGTTTGGAGATTGATTCAGTCCTGGACCCACTGGGTATGATCACCAGCTTGGTGAAGTCAGGAACACCCACTACAAAGCCAGTGAAGTCCGGAGATGCATCCGAGGGTCCGTTGCGCAGCTTTTTCCCAAAAGCATCTCCGATGCTTGGGTTCTCGTTTAGTCGCTAGTGCCGGGGGAGAGCGAGGAAAAGCTTACGTTGTCGGAAACGGAAGATGGAGGTGGAGGTGGACGGGGCTGGGAAGGGAAGAGGGAAGGGAAGGAAGGGAGGGGAAGGAAGGGAGGGGGGAAGGAAGGGAGGGGAAGGAAGGGAGGGGAAGGAAGGGAGGGGAGCGAGACGGGAGGTGCAGAGGGAACAGATGGAGGGGAGCGAGACGGGAGGGGCATGGGTGGGGACGAGAAGATGGAGGCGAGCGAGACAAAAGGCGCATGGATGGGGACGGGGCTGGAGAGGGAAGATGGAGGGGAGCGAGACGGGAGGCG